ACCAGCTAATAGTTGGATGAAGTTGTCCAAATCTGGCTCCAGCCGTAGCTGTCTGCCTTGAAAACAGCTCGCCTGCGGTACCTACTTGCAAAGCTGTGTGGTCGACTGCTTTTCCCTGTGACTGTCACCAACAGTTTCCTCTTATCTGTTCCCAACATATTGGTGCATATATATCTGTTCACCAAGTGGGTGTTTCTGATTTTTTTTTTCACCACTCATTCAATGTCTTTGTAGACGTGCAACAATAGGGGAATCCTTTATAAATTAATATAATAAACAGTTGTGTTTCGTCTCTTTATTGATGAGAATTACACACCTGCGCTCACTCACTCACGCACACGCACGCACACACACACACACACACACACACACACACACACAGGGAGGTAACAGTAATCACTAAAATATAATGGAAATGAGATGATTGCATTTCTCTCCCCCTTTGCACGGGTTGAAGTAGACGGACGCTTTGTGTAAACACACTAAGGAACCCTCCTGAGCACTGCGAGACCACTGTACCTGTTTGTTCTCAATCCTTTTGATGATATCAAATGATCAAGTGGGCAAAATGTTTCCGGAAAGAAAAGAAAAGTAATATATCTGAGTGTTCCTTGGCGTCCCCCTCCCACCCCTTCCTCAGGACCCTGAGGTGTCCCAGGCATTCCAGGATGTAGCCATGAACCCAGCCAACATCTCCAAGTACCAGAACAACCCCAAGGTACAGGCCGTCATCAACAAGATGGCCACCAAGTTTGGTTCAGGGGAAGACGGCCCGGAGGCTGGGGATTTCTCCAGGGGATTTCCCGGAGCGGGCATGGCATGAGACCATATTTCGTCCGACACAGACTGAACTCTGTATGGAACCATGCAGAAAACCATGCTGAAAACTGGTGGATCATTCTAATACATCCGCGTTTTCTTTGTTTTGTTTTCAATATTCGTTTGTCAGAAGTTCGGTAAATGCGTTTTGTTTTAACTCTTTATCTCCGAGGGGGGTAAACCCACTATGCCGGGCTCATCTTCTGGTACGAAATCTAAAAGTGACATATGCATCTCTAAATTGGTCATTAATTCAAATCAAGTGAATCTATCTTGATAGTTCTTCATCTAATGAATGAACTCCCAGTAAGAGAGACCTGTTTTCAGCTGTTGCCGAAAAGCAATTGGACGTGGAAACTGTTATAATGGAATGTGCCCGAGCCCAGCGGCTCACTGGCACAGTGGTTCCAACCGCAAGCCGTTGAAAGTGGCTTGCCGGAGATAATGAGTTAAGAGGACAAGTCTGTTCCTCAGAAGTCCTAAGAATCTACAGACTAGGTAGGTTATAGGAGGAGCTTAAATGTTTTGTTACATACAAGGTGTATGGTACTTTTTTTTCTGTTGATTGCAATAGATAAGTGTGAATATCTACAAGTAGCCTATGTCCTAGCTGAATATTTTGAAGAAAATATTGCCTTTCCAAATGGGAGGAAAAAAATCAATTCTGCTCCTCATTTTGCTGTTTAAACTCCGTATATGACAGTGGGTTTGCCTGTCTGCTCTGTGTGACTGGATTTGCTGATTTTTCACGTCGAGTCCTAATTTTTCACATTGTTTCAATATATCCATCCATTGCAAGCACATCATTCCGCATGGTCATAACTTTCGGACTGGCTGTTGAATCCATATTTTTATGCCTGCTGACAATATGTTTCTTTTTAAAACTTGTTCTTATCTAAAAGAAACTTTCATGCATATTATTTTGTGATATTGATCCCATAGTGTTTTTCTCTCAACAAGAAAAATGTCTTTAGTTTTACATTACAAAACCTTTATACAACACATCACTGTTAATCCGTGCAGTTGTGCTTGTAGAATTTTTTAGCTCCTAGGTTGCACAGTTTGAAGCACTTGTTGATAACGTACCTTTGTATTTGCGGACCAATAGACAGTGGTGTGTATGTTTGTAGTCAAGTAACTTCATGACATGTGGAAATCTGCTTCCCTAGGAATCATGTTTTGATTTATACAACGTTATTGCACAATTCTTCACTCTGTGGTAAGTCCTGTTAAGAGCTTTTTAATTAAGTGTTTGAACAAATGCTTTGTCTTTATTTGTACTGTAAGTTTTCGTTTGATAAAATGTCTGTTTTCTTCTGTCTTTTACATCCTGGGATTTTCATATAATACTTTTAATCATTCGTTGTTTTTCAGGGGTTCAGTGGAAATGTTTCTTTTTAGAATTTAAATTAATAAAGCAATGTCAGCGTTGTATGTTGTGGGATTAATAAAACCACCAATCATTCACTCTTGTAAGACGGACAGTGAATGCACTTGTAAAATTGAAATCCAGGTAGCTGATGTTACTGTTTAGTTTGTTCTTGGATTCATGATAACTATAATCAGACTCTGGTCTCTTTTAAAGCATGGTAATATTGTTGCCTTCAGATTTTTTAATTACTGTTTAATAGGTGTTTCTTTTCTCATAATCTGCTTTCATTTTAACACTTTGATCTATTGTTATGACAACCCTTTGCGGGTGGTTGGCAGATGATTTGGTGTGTTTTGCTCCTTCTTTCCTATGAATCATCAATCGTCCTTATCTTTCCTCCTTTTTTGTGTATGTTACTCTCTCACTTCACCTCTAATCTTCGACACTTATATGGCCTAATTGTGTTTCAAGTGCCGTAAAACTATCTGTGGTGAATGAATGACCATATATATATATATATATATATATATATATATATATATATATATATATATATATATATATAATATATATATGCGTAGGTTTTATATTTTGTACAATATGCTAGTTTTGTTGCTGCGGGTTCCTGTTTGTACTTTAATTAGGACCTATATAATAATATATAGGGCCACACGCAAAAATATGAGTCTGGGTAGAGATGAATGTTTTGGGATATATATATATAGCTGCCTTCTGTTTCACTGCAAGTAGCTCCATTTATTATTTTCAGTTCTGTAATGTTCGTTCACCTGACTGTGAGCTTCTATCATCTGGATAGTTGGTTGTGTTGTGGTTTTTCTGATACAACAATAAATTGTATTTCGAATTGAAAATATACTGTGTAATGGCTTTCCTTTTGTGAACATAATTCCAGTGGTTAGTGGACTGTGATAGTCTCAAGTAAATAAAAAGAAATACAGCAGCTTTAGATTTGTTTGACCAGAGGAAGAATTGGAGAGACCTGGTCCCATTCAAAGGTCCCGCGTTGGAATCCGGGTAGCGACCGAAAAATTTTCATCTCTAAAATTGTCTCCTTTCACCTCCCTTCCTGCTCTCTAGCAATATTCTTTCGTCTGCTTTCGTCTCCTCTTTCTGCCCCCACCCCCTCACCTCCTTTGCCCCCTCCTCTGGGCTCCTGACTCTTTCTGCAGCCTTTCTACTGCTACTCCCTGACTCCTTCTTACAGCTGTCTTACTGCCACACCCCTGATCTTCTGGTAGGAAAGATCTACACCTAGCCTTCTCGGACAAGGGCGAAAAATCTCGGAGGGCCCATGTGCAAGTTGCGCATGTTAAAGATCCCTTGGTGGTCTAAAATCGATAAGAGTAGGCTTCGGCCGCCACCCAGGCAAAATTCAAAATTTCCTACCAACTAAAAGTATTAGGTGTGTCCCGCGCGCTCATATGACCTTATGCAGTTGCGAGCACCGTAAAACACTTACAAACAAAAAGACCTGGTCCCAAACCTAAACAGGGTATCGGCTTGTCCCCGATTCCAAAGATAGGATAGGGGTTTTGCTTCTTTTTTTTTTCAAGACAATGATCTAAATATAATATTATGATTTTGTTCAAAACTTAAGCTGAATCATTTTCCTGACCAGAAATTAAAGATTTCTGAAATACAAAAGTTTAATATAAAACTACTTTTGCTTTTGTACAGTGGAACTCTGATTCAATGAAGCTGTCGGGCCTGACGTTCCATTTCGTTCAATATAGCAAACATTAAGTTTTTGTGTAGATACAGACACTGAGTAAGTAATGTATAATGCATTCAACTTTCTCAATCAAAAGCAGTTTGGCTTCAAATGAGAGGCATTTTCATTTCCTTGATGCCATATCGAAGAAATGCTGGAAAATTGACAGAACTCTACCAAGCACACACTGTGCAAAATGGTTTCAAATGAGAGGCCTGTTCATTTCCTTGATGCCATATTAAAAAAATGCAAGAGAATTGACTAACTCCTACCAAGCACACACTGTACAAAAGGGTCGACTTGTTCAAGTGCATGCCTGGGTCTTCTATCACCTAGGCCTATAATTTGCTGTTTGCAGAACAAGTTAGGTTGCTGTGTACTGCACAGCCTAGCATACGATAACGTTTGGTTCCACAGTCCAGCACGCAAATTAAGATAGATCTATGTCAAGACTAGCTTATCATTGTATGTAATATTGATCAGTAGCAAGGGAAAAAAAATAACCGATGCATTTGTACTTCTACTACTGACGTTCCATGCCCAGACCGCTCACGCATACACTGTCACACGTCACATATATGCTGGCCACCCATCCAACCCCGATGCGTGCTAATAAGACAAGTGTGCGAACTAACAACGCGTGTGTTGGTGTGAAAGAAGGCCACTGATTGGTCGCATAATAGGCTGGGCCAATTATGGTTCACGATGCAGGTGCCATGGATGGTTTCCAGGAATAAAAAAGGTTCATTGTGGGAGAAAAATTAACAAAACCACGTCTGCGGGGGGCTGTTCACCCTGCAAGTAACTTCGTTGAATCTGAGCTTGCCCATTTGTGTGTTCGTTGAATCCGAATTATTTTAGTGATTTTTATGAATTAGAAAAAAGGGGGAATACAACTTCTTTCGTTGACTCCAAGTTCGTTAATACGAGTTCCACTGTAACCTACTATATTGTATAACTACTAGATTTTGAAATTTCTAGATCTTAGGATGTCTGAGAACTATGCGAGACTGTATCATAACAAACAAGTAAAATATATTTTTAGATCTAGATCTTCATATTTTGTGTCACAATAATTGATTTTTTGTGTTATTTTCTGTCACATTTAGAAATGTTTTCCAAAACTGAAAATAGAGATTTAAAAAATTCGTGGACAAAAAAGATTTATAATAACTTTCTAAAGAAAGTTAAAAGTACAGTCAAACCCTGTGCGTAGTGCCACCAGCTCCGCTACTTACTGCCAGGTTTTGTCAGCCATTTGTCACATATGTACACAAATGAACGCCTAATATAAACGTAGTATTTGCGTCTTTATACTGCCATCCAACAGTCTGAGTTGTACAGGCCTCATTAAACTTACATAAATTTGTTCACTATACCACCGGCAATCTGGCTGCCAGATGTACGTACAAACACACACCATCCAATCATGGCTGCTTGATGATCTCCCTCCTACACAGATGTCTTTGCGAGTTAGGCCTAGATTCTATATACTGTATTTAGCATTTGTTTCCAAGTTGCCCCACCCCCACCCCCCTTTCCGTCCCACTTCCCCACCATTGTCTTGCTGTTAGATTTCAGGTTGCATCATGTGTAGACATTCAGTTGGGTTTTTTTTTACCCTACCACTCAGTGAGTCCTCAGGACCATTTCAATAGTAGACAGTAAGCACACAATTTAAGAGGGCTCCCATGGCCTCGAGGTTAAGGTGTTGACCTCTCATTCAATTGTTCCTGGGTTTGAATCCGGATAGCGAGAGAAATTTTTCTTCTCTAAAAAAATTATCTCTTTTCACCTGCTTTCCTGCTCTCTAGCAATGTCCTGTCGTCTGCTTTCGTCTCCACTTTCTGCCCTCACCCCCTCCTCTCCTTTGCCCCCTCCTCTGGGCTCCTGACTCTTTCTGCAGCTTTTCTACTGTTACTCCTTGGCTCCTTCTTACTGCTGTCTTTCAGCCACACCCCTGATCTTATGGTAGGAAAGATCTAAACATGGCCTTCTCAGACAAAGGTGAAAAATCTCGGAGGTCCCGTGAGCAAACTGTGCACGTTAAAGACTCCTTGGGGGTCCAAAATCGATAAGAGTAGGCTTCAGCCACCATCCGGGCAAAATTCAAAATTTCCTACTTACTGAATAAATGTTTAATGTGACCTGCGCGCTCATATGATCATATACAGTTGCAGGCGCCATAAAACACTTGCCCAATAAAACACAGTTTAATAGAACCCAATAAAAAAGGCTGAACTTGGAAAGAAGGGGTACATCCAGTAATATAAAGGAGCAAACACAAAAATACAGATCTTCAGATAAAAACAAAGAATACGAATGGATCTACAGTGGAGTGGTGTTGTGCAAGTGCAAGCGAACACAAAAGGATGACGTACAAAGCATTGAGGGATGGAGAAGATTGTACAATTAAAATAATAAACATCTTCATAATTCGGCAGCAAATGCTTCTCATGCGATTAATTTTGTTGCACGGGTTATGAAAATCAAATGCTATTATTTTAAGGTTTTGTCTGATATTTCAAATTTTAGGAATTAAATTTTAAGGTCACCTGGAGATGTTTCAAAGAAACAGCTTGGCCTGCTGGCAAAATATCTGGCTATCAGATATCAGCCTATTGACCTAAAGGCTGGTTGTAACCCATAAGACTTTTCTATTGAGAGAATTCACATACAAGTCTTCATGGCAGGTGTGAGGCGATGTGAGGACTTATTGATTATTGCCATAGTGTTTGAAAACTGTTCATCTACAGGGTCATTGACTCATTGACACCTTTTCGTCAGTTTAAAAACAAAGGATTCCTTTAAAATCAGGAATTTGGGAGCCTGAAGGCAAGGGGCCCTATGAAGTCCAAAAAAATGGACCTCTACATGATAAAAATCAGTTGCACTGCAGGTTGAAGAACCAGCAGTCAACTACCTCCAAGATCTAGCAGGGAAACACAAAGAAGAAATATTGACATTCTAATCCGGCAGATATATATTCAATTTGAGTTTACGTATAGTTCAGCTGGTGCTGAACATGTAATGTAAGCTGGACCTCCCCGGGGCGGTGCCACTG